AATTTTGGTCGGGAAAATTTTTCAGTCGAAATATATATGGTTTGATGCAGTTTTTCACGTTGATTCCGAATGTCATATTTATTTTCTTCTAGCACTGATCGAAGACGAAATGAATCTCTAAAAATGTTCATTTTTTATTGAAACACCATCAAAAACTACAAAAAATTAGATTGTATAAGCCATTTTTCGAATCGATCCTAAACTTTTTTTTCGAACGTTTTTTGACCATTTTGTAGAGAATAAAAAACTGCACAACATATATAAAATTCAGTTTGGGCCTCCTTAATTCTGAAGCACAACATGAGTTACAATGATTTTTTGGACTGGCCAAAAGGAGTACCCCTTGACTCGTATTCGCTCTCTAAAACTTAAATTGTTAGCCATTATATTCTATAAATCTAGCTCATTTTATTCAGTTTTCAATTGTCTATCTTCTCATATATACCACGAAAAATGTAAATGATTCACTGATATGGAAGTCAATACATCTTTTATAGAACATTTTTTTCTTATTTTTTCACGAAAACACCCAGTAGTGCCAAAAGTCGGTATTGATCAACTTCTCATAGGAAGGGTACCAGGACATAAAATTTTAGGGTTACTAGTTTTAGACATTGAGGCGTTGAATGAATAAAAAAAAATCGAGAAAAAAGATTTTATCAAGTGCCTCGTCTCCTGGATGGTCTCGTGGACCCTCTCTTGATAATATAAACAAAAAAGTACATGAAATGAGACTAAGACAAAAGTTCTTGTTCTTTCAATTATTCATTCAGGTTATTATATCTTTTTGTATTTGACAAATAATAATAGAATTATCACAATTTTAAATAGCTTATTCACATCTTGCTTTGATTTATATTCAAATATTGAACTTTTTCTTTTAGTTTTTAAAGTCTTTATTCATTAATTTAGCTTCTAAAAATAATAACACAGAAATGACAAATTGTTTGAGAAGTTATTAGAACATATAACCTTAACAGTCATGCAAATAAGCGATACACTCTAAGATTGTCTACATTAGAAAGATACGATTAAGTTAAACTCAATCATGATCAACACAAGGTCAACTTTTAACTATATAAGCAATTAACTTTTAAATAAGACTAGGTTATCACCATTCACTGATAGTGAATATTCTAGCAACAAAAATTTTCTAACTGAAGTTTTGTTTCTTTGAAAGACATCATACAAAGAAGCTTGAGCATTCCATCACTAGACAATCAAATAAGAACTTGAAATTAATGTAAGAAGTGTTCGTTAAGAAAAAATTTCCGAAAAACAATATCAGAAAACTATTCTTACCTTGATACGCATTTAAGATGTTCGATGAAATTTGAATAGCTATTCTTTTTGTCAAAAAACAAACAAACTACAAATCTAAAAATTAGCTGTCAGGATAGGAGTATTCTCTTTCAGATTATTATTCTATTTTTTTAAAATTTAAATTGTAAATTTTATCGTTAAGAAAAAGTGAAGAAGATGAATTATTGCATCAAAAATATTACATGCTGATGGTTCAGATTTCAGTTATTTTGATCAATGCCATTGATTTTCATATAGTTACTCTTAGAGACATTAATATTCATCTAGCGATTCAATTTAAAGATCGACTATTAGTATCGAAAAAGAATTAGAAAATAATAACATGTTGAAGATATATTTGATTGAAATCTATTGACCAGGATAACAATTAACAAAATGATGACATCTTATGAATCAATCCTCCTATATGTATTATTCACAAGAGCTGTGAAAATTTCTGACATTCGATGTGTTCCTATCGTTGGCCAAAATTCGTTTTATAAGAATGAGAATATAGCTAACTTTTGTAGTACTGATTTGATATTCATGAAGAAAATTTTGTGTAAAACATCTAAATATGATAAGAAGAATATCTAATCAATGGTTGAATCAATAAAACGAAAAGCATTTAAACTATTCCCAATTTGATTATCCATGTTACAATTTTTTATCACAAAAGAAAACTTTGTTGTTTAATTTTTTACATATGTTTTTCCTAAAATCAGCTATTGTCAAAAATTGTTGGTTCTGACACGTAGACGCACATAAATTGATTGTGGATGTGAATATGGCAGCAAAATGTCTTTTCTATTATTTTATAATCTAGAGAGATATTTTTTATCGTTTTCTTTTGTTATATGAAGAATAAAATTATTGGTCAATGGCGTTTAGAAGCAGCCGAGCGAGATTTTCTTCTTGTTAGTTTATCAGATACGGAAACAATCGATGGAAAAGTTTCATGTCGTTTTTGTGATTATTATTTGGGTGAAATTTCATGGATAAGAAAACGAAATAATAATTATTTTGTTCGACAACAACAATTTAGAGATCTACCAGATATCAAAGAAATGTGTGCACTTAAATGTAAACAATTAAAATTTTCTTACAGAAGTTAAAATGGACAACCTCAAAGTTTTACTTTTAAGAAATGGACCGATGTTTAATTTAGAATACTCGATTTAGAACTAATCAATATCAATAATGTACTAAATAATCAACAATAAGTTTTTTTTATCATTAATACTTTTATAGAATATATTTTAATAAACGAATTGAAAAATGTCTTGTTCTTATCAATTTTATTTGTTAAAACGTCATACGAATGTCGTATTTTGCATGAACAAGGACACCATATAAAAAACCTCATCCTCAACGGTGATATTTCTATCACTTTGTTGAAACAGATAAAAACTTTTATGAATATGGTCTATGACATCAATTATCATAGAACTTATTTCGAATAATCAATATTAATAAATGTCATGAGGGTGTAACTATTTACCGAGTGAATAGTTTTCTTAGCATATGTTTTGATTGAAAAAAATTTTCTAATCGCTCGTCTACACTTCCTTGTAACATTCTTATTATTAGCCTAATCTCCTTTGTAGAGTTATGATAAATGTACATATTTCTACTTGGATATCTTACAATACTTTTGGTATTGGTTTTGAGAAAAACTTAATGATAGGATACAATAAGTACTGATGAGTACATTTTCATCTATCAAAATAATCAATTAATTATTATAACGATGAGATAAAATAATAAAACTGGCTAATCAGTTTCAAACATTGAGTAATTGTCTTCAAACTTCATGTATGATACAACAATGTTCATGACCTTATCTATGGTCAGATGGTCTCATTATGAGGTGGCATGTGAATATTCGTCCTTTTTAGTGGTTTCAATAAAAAACACAGGTCTTTTTATCATTTACATTTTAAAGTATTTGGAGGTCTAATGAATAAAATGATTTCTTTCATTATAAATCATCGAAGACAAGGGTGAAATGAATCGCTTGAATTCTTCATTTTTTGTTAATTCCAGTTAATTTTCTTCTATTTATGATAATTTCTAATTATTAATATGCAGAGCATGGCTTTTCACAGGGCACAAAGTAGGCAATTTAAGTTGCTCATATCTCATCATACCGGCAGCGAAACGTTCGAAGAATGACTTTTGGATTGGAAAGATGAAAACTTCAGGATTTCATAGTCTTTTCGTATAATTTTCGACTTCTGAAGAGGCATGTGCAGTTTTTCGAAGATGAATTACCAAAATTTTCAAAATTTTTCACTTGAAAAAGCACAGGTGTCCAAAACAACCAGTTAAGAAAGCATGGATATTTTAAGAGCGCCAAAATTTAAAGTAACTTCGAAAGTCTCAGCAATACGAAACTGAAAGTTTCTGAAATTTCTTTTTTTTGAAATCTGAATATTGCTGCTTCTGCATTTTGGAATAAAATACTCCATCGATACTTTGCAGAGAATATCAAGAGGCATTTTCTGTAGAAAGAACCATGTTTAAGAGTTGAAAAGGAAAATAGTGATAGCCAATTCTTGGAGCTTCATTTTGTTGTGAAGCTCTCACTGATCATTTCTATTAATTTCCAAGTAAGAGAGAAAAATTGATTTCTATTGGTAGAAGTCACTATGAACTATCGGAAATGACTGGAAACAATGAGAAATAAATGATATAAAGAAATGACTTTGCTCCTTTTTCTTGAATGACCATTGGTAGACCAGTTACCGGTGTATGTGTGGGTGGATATGCGTGTTGGTAGAAATGTTTTCTCTTCAGCAACATCCACACCCACGCCCACACCCACACTGATGCCCTTGCAGAGAAGGCGGTCCAGCATGATAAGCCAATAAATGCTTCGGATCGACACCATCGAAACACTAACCATGGAAAAATGTTGAAATGATCTCATTGTTGAAGCTAAACGAATCGCGTAATAGACTTCGATAAAGGGTAATCAATTTATATTTTTAAAAAATTATCATTCTGTCTATACGATTTTAAGCAACTTTTTATTTTGTGAGTAGCGTGAGTGTGTCGGTGTCGGTGTAATTACGCGTGCGGTAGGTTTAAGAAAAACCCTAGCCTACATGTCAGACCCATACCTTCACTATTTTCTTTCTCTCAAATACAAACATATTCTTTGTACAACTTTTCTTATTTTAATGTGTCTATTGTAAAAAGAAGATTGGACATATCGGCATGATACAATACTAAAGCTTCGCAATATAATTTCAATTTTTCTATACATACAGACAGTCAAATATATAAGAGACTTATTTTATCCTCATCACTACAGTTGAGTCAATGAGAAATACATTTTTCTTGTTATCAACAAGATTGAAACTCCTCTTGGATTAAACATAATAATAGGTTCAACTTCTGAACAGCGACAAATACAACATTCACTTTTTTTCTATAATGAAAGGTTAACGTAATACTAACAGAAGATCTTGAGTATGAAAAATACAAGAAATAAAATGAAAGATTCCAGCAAAGGCAAGTCGCATTAAATGATTTTCACATCTTAATATGCTATTAAAGAGCAGCAATTCCACCATACGTGGCTAAAACAAACACATGATCGGTATCTTCAGCCACTGTCAAATGTACATGCGACAAATACGTGTAATCAAGAAATGAAAACTGATCAACTTTCACTGTTGGATACACACAATTACAAGATGCATGATTAAATCCTCCTATTTCTTTGGCCAATTTTTCAATATTTACACGATGATAGGAGATGGGATGTTTTCGTGAAGCTGAATTTCGTAATGTTTCGATGCAATTGTGTAAAAGAGAATGGAAAGAAACGTACGGTATTATTTCATCTGACAGACGTTCAACGGTCAGCTGATGGGTGTCGAAATCGAATATGAGATGATTATATACGAGAATTAAATCATGAATTTTCGATAAAGCACAATGACTTAAAGGACAAGCACATGGTGAATTAATGAGATGATCTTTCGCCGATAACATTCGAAGGAGACTAGTGCCCGAATTCTGTTCTGTTTGTTTCATCAAATGTTCATGATAACCTAATACATAATCTCTTTTACATGGCACCCAAGATTCTTCATCTTCGTTATCATTCATATATTCATTAACAAGTTTTTCGTCAGAATCGTATAAAGCCATTCTTCTCTGATAAGCTAGAATTTCGTCTACATTTAAATGACCATAATAGTCCATTTCGATATCTAGGTTAGAGTTGAATGAAGAAGGTTCTTCGATTTTAATATGAAGACGTGATAAAAGATCTTGCCCGATAAATTGAGATTGATGTCGATTGCTCATGTATGTTCGATCGACACTATAATCTAAATCAACCATTGGTTGTCGTTTATTTTCATCTTTTTGTGTTACTCTATATAGAGAACCATAACAATTTCTATTGTAAAATGCATCTGCCAGTATTTTTTCCATTTTGACTTCGCATGCTTGTTGAGTATTTCTATCGTATCGAATTGTGTATGTTTTCGAATCTTTTCCATGTCCTAATAAGAAAAAAGCATAGACAGCCACAACACGACAACATGCATTGATATGTCGATAGAAAAAATCTGCGTCCGAAAAACAAAATAATGTTCGACTTCCATATTGCGCATGAATTGTAGGAATAAATTTAGGTTGAGATGGATCTGTTTCCAATTGTTTTGTTTCTTGAGCTTGCCAAATCATTTTTAATAGTTGAAATTTTGGATAAGCAAAGATTAAATTTTGAATATCTTGTTCGTGTAAAAATTTGAAGATATGAAGCCACATTTCTGATGGTAATTGTTCAATCAATGAATTTACTTCATCTTGTTTTATAATTGATTCAAGTAAATGTGGATAACAATATCGAATCGATAGTGAACGCTCATATAATTCTCCAGTATTTATTGTGTTTATAAACATGCCATAATTATGATATTCTTTCAATTCATTTTGTTGTGCTTCACGAAAAAAATTTAAACAAGCAAAATAATCATCCTCTTCTTCTGGACAAACTGCAAAGCCTAATAATTTTTCTTTTCTCTTCACTAATACGTCAGTTCTTAATATGAGACGTTGTGTCATGCCAACATGATTTGCTATTTCTGGTGCTATTGCTTCATGCAATAGATTGTGTGTGAATAGAACAGCATAGCCTTTCTTTGGTTGTAATATTACACATTCATAACCATTTTCTAATCCACCATGAGCATCAATTTCTTCTTTTATTGTTAATCCTCTAATATTTGATTTTGGCGATATTTTTGGAAAATAAAATTTTGTTTCTCCTTTCTCATAATTGTCAGTTAAATAAATCACTAAACTGAATAAGGATCGTTCATCACCACTTGGTGCATATTGAGCATCTTTATGAGGTGAAAAATATTCTCCTTCATTGTACTTATTTAATCTCATTGCTGGATTGACACCGCTCAATTCCCAATTACCTTGCACATTGAAACCTAAGGGTTTTGTATTTTGAACGAGTTTTGTTAGTTTATTACTAAATTTTAAACGTCGCCAAAGTGTTCGAGCCAATCGATCGTCCATTACTATTAATCGTGAATTGTTTCGCTTTCTAACATCATATTTATCGAACATACTTTCAAATGTTTCTTCATTAATATTAGCGAGAATTTCATCACATTCATTTGAAGTGAGTAAAGTTCCTAATTCAATTAAAACTAAATCGTCTTGATGTTTTATTTTATTTAATTTGAAACCATCAGGTATTTTTGTTGGTACATTATAATTCGTTAATAACGAAGTAGTAATAGCCAAATCTGTACTCCCCAAAAAGTGATGGCGAGACATATATTTGTTTTAACAACTTAGTAAGAGAAACGAAGTTTAATATTTATTTCCTCTGTGATCTGTCGTTTGTTAGCACTTGTCTGCTGCATTTATAGTTAAATCAAATATTATTGCACAACAACTATGTAATGCGTCAATGATCTTTTCTGTTTCTCTTTTTTTCCTATCAAATATGGCTTCCCTGTATATTGACAATGATACATTTTTGTATTAGTGAAAACTTTTTTAGAGACGGCATTGTAAAATATATTCAGGCAAATGAGAAGGTTTTTGTTTGCGCTTTGAATTGGAAAAGAATTGAGTGGATTATTCGAAATAATGAAACCTGTTTGTTTCATTTTGATTTTTTATATATTCAACACTTTCTATTTCTCCGATAACACAGACGCCTACCGATGCGTGTGCACTTTGATAACGATCAATTCTTATCTAAATACTTCTCAATTTTTTTATGGAAATAATACTAGTTTTATAAGTTCATTTGTCTTCCTACTTCATTGATGCAGATATAAAGGTAAAGAACTGGTATTTATGGTTTCATAGTTGATTTCTCCGTAGACTAACCAAAACAGATAGCTACTTCGATTCAGATTGATTGTGAAAATAAATTAGATCAGTAAGTTCAACGAGGTCGTATTCATTAACGGTCCAAAAGTGGGTGAAATTCAGAGTAGTAATTTCCGTAAAGGAAACTATGATCAAGAACGTGCTTTGATATATGTACTCGCATGTTATCCTACTGAGAAAAATCTTTTGTGTTATAGTCTAAATTTTCTTTGCCGATATATAGAAAAAGTCGAATTCTGTAACCTAATGTAGATTTATTTCACTGGCAGTATTATAAGAAACAGAAGTGTTTTTTTTTAATTAAATTATAATAATCGATATGTTACTGCAATTATCAAATGATCCGAAGGATGGGTTTCATCAGGATAAGATTCTCTAGTAGGATGATCTGGTAATTCTTCCACTTTTCCACCGTGATTTGGCCATCAGAAAAGATGTAACCAAGTGTAGCACAAAAGTTTGGTGAAGATAGTGTATTAGAAAAATTCCTATACCAAAGCTTCTGTCCGTTCTCCTCTCGATAGGCACTCTTCAATACTTGTTCAGTATTTGGTCAATAAGAGATATCATGAGTGCTGGATTCTAGAAAATTACTATTAACATTATCTTTTCTAGTTAAAGCTTAATAACAGGCACTTCGCGCTCGAATGTTGAAATTACCTGCTAGAATAAAATCTTAACCAGCTACCAATGAAAACATAAAATCTTTTGCCATAGACGAGTGTATAGCCATGACTTTGGGCTATCTATAACGACAAGACATGTGATACGTACCAAATCACAATGGTTCACCATCAATCACAATCTGTAAACAAATGAGAGTATTGGAACTGTTCATAGCAGTTTGTCAAGGGTCAGATATGGGCTGTATAAATTTGCTCATGACAAACTGGTACAGATCCCATCCATATGTTGAAAGATTTTTCTGTTTTTCACGATATTTACTGATTGTTCGTATATAATCTTCAGTTTTAGTAATAGAAATGAAGTTGAGCTGCATCGAAACTGGAATTGTCATGTGATCACTCATATAATCCTTGCATCGTTGACCATAAAGATTATGAACGAAAATATAATTTATTCAACGCAAAAAATAATTCAAGTTTGAGTAGCAAGAAAAGAGATAGTTCTTGTAGACAAATTATTGTATTTTCATGATGGAGGGTGTGGGGTTGGGTGTGGGTGTAGGTTCAGGTCATCTACTCATACACTCACACCCCGCAAACTCCCTCAATAGTTATTCTATATTATCTTCATCTATCATCTTCCCATATATTTTACTCACTCCAGATGCATAATTGTCATGCACTTCAACGCTTTCAACATCTGATAGTTTCAGGCCCACCTTACTTCAAGAGACAATCTGTAATTAATGCACATAATAGGGAGTGGACAAGCGATCGATCATTCAAAGATCCCCAAGTGTTTACCGACTAGATTTTAAACGAAATTATGATCAATAGTGACTGATGCATATTTTTTTAGTTGATACTCGGGAACTTGACTCGAGTCGAGTCAGAACCTTCAGGAGTGTAGGTCGAATCGAATCGAGCCGAGTTGAGTCTTGATTCTTCTGAGTCGTTTTGGTCTATGAACTGGATACCAGCAAATGCTGACAGCATTCTATCGATTTTCATCGGATTCCAATGAAATCAGGATTGGAATCCTCCTCACTGGATTGTTTGAGTTGGGATGGGATGTGCAAATCACACATTGTCGTTGAAGTTGTTTTGGTTGCTCAAGCAAACGTCTTCTTGAAGCAGCTATTGTGAAAGCAATAAAGGCTTTTTCAAATAATAAAAAAATATGCTAGTGACATATTCGTTCAATAACTGTATTTAGACGTATTTATACGTTGCCGGAAGTCAAACGATTAAACGATGAAAGCTGCAGCTCTCTATCTAGTCTCTAACAAAAGTTATTCAAAAAATACTCTCACTTTTTCTTTCTTGAAATGCGTATTAGATTGAGTAGGTTTATTTTCAGAAAGATTGATAGAAAACATTAAAAAAACAACGTAAAAGAAGAATTTTGACATATAGATGGATACGTCTTCATCTCTTCTTTTTGACAATGAAATCTGTAGTTCTTTCTCTTGTTTCTATCAAAAGTTACTCGAAAAAGTATCCATCCACCTTTTTTTCTTCAAAATAATCATTGGTGTTATCATTACATGTCATAACAAAGAGATCTTATGGAAATTTTGATAACTATGACATTAGTTGAAGAATGATGAATTGTCACTGAAATATTAAGCAGTGTATGTAGAGAGGAATTAAACTAAGTTTTTTTGAAAATTTTTCACGCCGGATATCAGTTTTCAGAGATGCGCTTCCCGAACTCCTTAACGATACGTTCTCCAGCATAATTTTCTCGTATTCCATTTCAAAATTTCTCGAAGCTAAGAAAATAATAGTAAAAGAAGCATTGAAAGATTTCAGCTATTGTCACCGCCGCCGATCACTATATCAGTTTACAGCTCTACTTGCTTATTTTTCATTGCTTTACTTCATATTATGTACTGTCTTCAACCATGTATTCAATTTCTGACAAAGTTTAACTATCGAACATAATTACCAATTGTTAAAAGAGCATGTTTAAATACGTTTCGTAGTCATTTATTATGCTGAGATATTCAATCTCTCATTGACAATAATTTATTGATTCAATAGGATCGTCATAAAGTCTTCATAACTCCTTGTTCTATTTGTTGCATAATCATTATTATATTCTAATAGAAAACAATACGAAATGTTGAGTGAAGAATCAAGAAAAACTTAACATGTTCACATATCCTTCAATGTGTTATGCGTACATGAAACTTATGCATTGTAATATGGAATGGGATCGCCTTGTTTCAGATGTTATTTTTAAGATTCAAATTCATTTAAAAAACGGCAACAAAGATTACTATAACTGTTATGAAAATTGTTTAAATATTGAGTTTCTTAAAAAATATTTAATATTAGTAGTTCAATAATACATTAAAACCAACACCCACGCCTGTGTTTTTAGTTTGTTTTGCTTTTTATTCTTAAAACTGAGTTGAATTTTATCTCTTTGAAGTTCTTATTTCTTTCCATTAATTATTAACTTTTTCATCTGATAAGTATTTTGTTTTTCCATAGTAGAAAATAAAATAATTGATGAAACTTGATGTCTTTTTCTCCAAACTAGTGGATTAGTAAGTTTTTGATTTTAATGAAAATACAGAAACAAGAGTTTGTCTCGTAAATAGAATAAAACAATATGAATTTTTAATCTAATAATAAAAATAAAAAAGAATGCGCTATTTTACTTTTATTCTCTTATTATTATTATTCTTGATTAAGTTCTCTAATGTCTGATATAATTTCTGTTCATTATTATTTCCAGTTTCTCATATTTATCTATATTATTCCTATTTATATTACTATTGAAAATCAGATAAAAATTGTTTTTCTGAATGGTTTAAATGTAATTCGTTGTTCAGATAATCAAATACAAATATATAAATTAGATTATTATTCTGGATATTTAATTGATAGTTTAGTAACATGTGATACGAAGGATGAAATTTATTCTCAAAAATATACTGGTTTCAAATGGGGTAATCTAAAACTTATTTGTTCCTTCGATAACACAGAAGTGCATGAAGAACAAGCTATTTTAAGATCCTTTGGGGACAATTCTGTGTTTATTAGTCATGCTGAGGGTCAATTAGATCAATCGAAAGAACTTTACAAGTTACAAATCGATCATAACGGAGAATCTAAGTATGGAACAATAATATCAAATAATCAATCAGCAAATGATGCATTCTTTAATGAAAATAATGCATTAAAGGACAGAAAAATTTATATATGGTTTCCAGATGATCCAATTATTTGTCGAGTAGCATTTACTAGTGATGAAGATAATCCATGTCCTTCAATGGATGGTATAGCAGTGAAAAATGTTAATTATACATGTTATTATAATCCAGGTGCTGATGAACTACCAACGAGAGAACAAATGGAAGCTGAATTGAAACAAATAGAAGAAACAGATGAAAGGCCCGATACTGATGCGTATGTCTTAGAGTTAGAAGCACCAGTACGTATAGAATGTTATTTTATTAGTTTAAAAGTCTCAATTCATAGAAATAATTTATCTGATTCTCTAAAGAATTATTTAATTAAATAAATTGTCAAGGTCAAATTTAACATAGTGTCCTATTGTAATCGAAGAAATGTTTAGTAGATCGCTCGAAGAAAGATATGTCACAAAACTGATTAGGAATAAAATTATTATAATAATGCTTACTTCCTGACCTCTTGTCTTATTTTTTTTTTGATGAAAACATCTTGCTAATGATCTTGTTTTTTCTGCCGTGTTACCCTTTTGTTGTTTATTAAACGTAGTCAATAGTTATTTCTCGAAAAGAATGAAAATGTTGAAATTCTACTCAACTGATAATACTAAATAGATAGATAGAAATCAAAAACAATTCTGACAAGACAAACGAACGAAAGCAAACAATACTTGTAACAACGAAGTACAAGAACTAAACAACAAAAAGGTTCTGTTTGTAAAATAAATGTAGTTTGAAATATTCCGAGAGATGACTCAAATATACTGTGCCGATGCTATGATGAACTAGCATTCGTGATCACTATTAGTATAAAGTCATCTGAATACTAAAAACAAAATCGATCATCATTTGCGAATTCGTCACTCATTACTAATGAAATGGTTATGGTGAATGGGTGGTTGATCATCATCATCGTTACAACTTTATATTCAAGAGTACTGAGGAAGTATACTAGCGACTCAAAGTGTTTTGACCTTCTTTTCCACCACATCAAGCAGAATCCGAATCAAATTACTAAATCTTCCTGGCCTGTGTATTTTCTTCTTTGACATTGAAGTTTTATCTGATAAGTTGAATAATAGGTGATCGAAAAGTAATTAAACAAAATGTTCATTTATTTTCCAGTTTTTCTAAAAAGACTTTAGAAATATGAAACCATTATGTTAATAAAAAGACATCTAAATCAATAGCAGCGAATCAGCTGCGAAAGAGTGTAGTTAGGGTGAAATTTAATATATACCCATAGCTAATGTCATTCTCATTCCTGCTTTCGAGCTGATTATACAAGTATGATAAATAAACTAAAGTGCTTTGACTTGTGCATTGTTTAATAAAATCAAAACGTATTGTTGAATAACAAGAAATAGTTATTTTTTTTTGAGTTCTTAATTGTTTTCATTGTATGCATTGGTCTCTAGTCGAATTAGGATTTTGTCCACAACATATATATCTGAAAATTTATTCGTTCACTTATTTATATATAAAACTATCATTTCTTGAACTGAAAAATCCCTACTTGACCTGAAATTATTTCTATACACAATTATTTCTAATTACAAAATCATCTCAGTTCTAACTATAGAAAAACATATCTAGTATTAGAATAAATAGACTTAAGTATCGAATGAAGAATTTTAATTACATGATAACATTCCAGGAAAGTGCTTCAATTGATTCTTCTGAAGCTTTTGATGATAAACCAAACGGTCTAGCAAAAAATTCATCATATAATAACAACGTTCGTCCTAGAAACTCAGCAAACTCAAACGGAGGATCTGATACACTAAAAATTATTGGATTGATACTCGGAATACTTTTACTTATTGGTTTCATCAGTGGTGCTATTTATTTTATAACTCGAAAATATTACTTTAATAAGTCTTCATCATCATCAGTGAATGTCGAAAATGAAAATGAAGATTCATATTCTCTTGGTGAAGATCAAACTCAACAATCATTAGCTGCAACATCAATGAATGAAACAAATACAGATGTATTTACGAATCTACCGTCAAAAGAAGATAAAACTTTTGTCACATTACACTCACCTGATGGAAATAAACGTCAAAAAGCAGATACTAGTATGGTTTTTAACGAAGATATGTAATTGTGTATCACTTCTTTTTGATAATCAATTGTTGTTTGTTTTTTCAAAAATCGAATGTTGAATAAAACTTTGAATTGAATTACAAATGAAATTTATTTTCATTGTTTTCGATTGATATTGTTTGAAAAAATAAGAATTAATTTACTTATTTATGCTCTTCTAAGCTAATGAAATCTATTATTAAAATATTATATTTATTTATGATAAAATCAAAATTAATAAGCTTTTAAAAATGTATCATTTAAGAAACAATAATTGAAAAGAACATTATTTATAATCAAAGTACTCAATTTTGAAATATAGATTAAGACTAATAGCTTGAAATCTGACTTTTCTAATTAATATATATTTTTCTTTAACACATTTTTTTCTTTATTATATTAGTTTTAGATATATTTTCTCTCTTTCTGCTAAAAAATAAGCTGGCTTTGAAGTGTACGCATAAATTTAGGGTGTGAAACCTGCATTTACCTAAACAGCATAACTGTTGGTTGACCCATGAATTTTATGGAAGGTTTTCTTTGTTAAACAAAAATCAATGCCTTTCGTAAATGTACTCAAACAATGCTGCTTCGAAATACACCCTCCCTACAATACAAGACTCCCGTCTTGAAAGAATGACATACTGAACGGCATATCCAAATTCGAATTTGAACTAGAAAATTCACATCACAATGTGCCTTCAATTCACTGTTCTAAGCTGTAGATCTTATAAGACTGGGATCAACATTATTTTTGCGCTTTTAAACCTGAAAAAAAACTCTTTTCGAATCCTCAAAATGGCGTTAGTTTTCTGGAAAACCTTTCCAATCAAAAAATTAAGAAAACAAATGAGACAAAATAGAAGATCCACTAGAGAAATTTGAATAGTTAGACATAATAAAAGTTCGAGTATTTTCTTTTGCGATGGGAAGTCATGTTGTTTTTTTTTTTTTTAATTGTATTTGGAAGCTTTATTACAACGAATTAAGTTTTCTGCTTTTTTTTCTTTTTTCAATGACAATATTGAACGATAGTATTCAATTTTTGAATGAAATCTCATTTTTTATTAGATGTGACGCTACTCAAAACTAAACAGATATATTTATTATGTCAAAATATAAAACAAAAAAACATGGACATACTATGTGATCTTACTGGAACTGAAATCAATTTCTAGAATAAAGATTAATTATAATACTATGAAGAATAACAAAATTCACTCTAATAGTTGAAAGTCAAAAGGGTGTAAATCGTGCTAATATTAAATTTTTTTGGTCTTTTCCTAAATAAGAATGTAAAAAAGAAAAATCATTTTATAATCTTTGATGACGCTGTTCAAAATTTTGGTAGAAAAAAAACCTCATTTGTATACAAGCCTTATTTGATTGCTTTCATTGCAAAATATTGTTAAATTTACAATAATGGTTTGTTCTTTGAAAATATTTGGTCGTAGAAAAAAACCTATTTTTTGGAACATTCGTTAACTTATAACAAATGTCTTACTTTAATAATTATGCACGAAGGATAGTCAAAGTTTTTTCTATTTTCCGTAAGACATTAAAACTAGTAAAATATAGACTTCAAATAAAATCCATTATGTCATTTCATTTTAATCAAATCAGATAAAAAACATATGCAGCTTGATTAAAGCACACTATAACCCTATTCTGTGACGTACAAAAACTTTCGTCAAATAACTCAAAAAGGAAATATCGTCTTGACTAACGTGATAATAAGTTTATTCGCACATTTTAATGGAAATCTTTAACGATAATAATTACTTTTCTAATCAGTTGTGTATTTTCATGATAATTTCAGAAATTCGCAATAATTTCCAAAAAACAAAATTTCTAGTCGATACATCTCGTGCATGAACATGCAACTTATCTGAAACATCAGCAATTGTTGCACACAATTTTGCACGACGCTTATTCTTGAAAGCACTCAAATGCAATAGTTCTACATGTTCATGCAACGTATATGTTTCGTATGTAAATGCCAAAGTGTTATTTTCATGCATCTGCACGTGAACGATTCGAACTTTGCTAAACGCTGCATGTCAATAAAAAAATTCGTATTTACCTAGACTATCACCAAAAAAATTCTGCATCAACATGCATATTTCAACTATTTTGCAATGTATATGCTGATCCATACAAAAGTTGTGTTTCCTTCGACGTATATTTATTTTGTGTTAAAATGGGATCACTGTTCTATACAACCAAGCTATATTAATTCAAAAGTTTTATTCACCTTTTTTAAAGTCTTCATAATTATTACTATTTATGTACAAACGTATCTAATAGATATTGAATCATCTTAATAGTCTTCAGTTTTAAGTGCACTTCTAATGTAGGTAAATAGTCGAATGGAGATTAAGTTCATCTGATAAAACAGATTATGTATGTTCGAATCTTATTTCTGGAAAACACTCTAATGTCTTCATGCGTGTTCATGTATGATTACTACCTATGCTTCGCTTTTTTGTTATTCTAGATTTTTCTTGCATATGCATGCGAGAGTTCGCTTAAAAAAACACTTGCGTGTCCTCGATGCGATAATACAACCCATATACATGGGCCAATTTCCATTTCGTGTCAACGTGAATATAATGACATTTCCGACTTGTTCACATGTATGCCATGTAAAAACTATCCATGCATGTGCACACTGCATTTGCGCGCAGCTACACATATTTTTTTAAATTTTTTGTGTTCGATTGGAAATAAGAAAATCTAGTTTCGGATTAACTCTGTTAACAATAATGTGATGTTCAATTAGACGATCTAACATTTAATCAATATATTGCGGTTGCCATTCTGTTGAACAACGTGATATCAACAAAGATGAACTATTTTCATTAGGTTTTATATCTTCTTCATGTATCGACATTTCACAGCCATTCATCACAATCCATAAACTACGATCATTGTCTACTTTATCTTCATCATCAGTATATTGAGACCTTCGAAATATTTGATCCGATGGTGCATGAATAAATGTCTGTAAATTGAGTTCTTTTCGAATGAACGAATATATTCCATATTCAAGAAGTTCTTCATTAGCTTCTATTTTAGTTAGACCATGTAGAGCATCTTTTGTCTAAAATCAAATAATATTATTTCTATTTAGGGATATTATAGGACTGTTAATCCACCCATGCAGTTAAACTACATGAGAAACATTTAAATAGCTGACTGAATACCATGCTTATTGTTTTCAATCATCGATTCTTTCATTCTGCACATACTAACATATGATTTGACTCTTTATCGACGAATTTTCTTCATGTATTCTTCGAATTTAGAGATCTTATTAAAAGAATCCAGCATTTGTTTTCTTTCACTCGATTGATCTTTCGATTTCTGTTATCACTATTGATATCAAAAGTAAATATTATTTTATTGCATTTAAATTCAAATGAATAATCAAAGTAACATGTGGTCATTTTCACACTGGCATCACTTGCCAAATACAATATATATAGATATATATATTCGATAGCTTATACCGTTTATTCGATAGTATTAAAGCATACGCAAGAAGACTTGACTCAATAATTCAAAGAAAAAGGTAAGTTTAATAGTAGTCATTTCGATGCCTTTTCCTATTAGAAATTTTGGGTATTAGAACTATCATATTATACTTGCACACAAGCTTAGATATTTTCTTTTTGTATAGATCATGAATTATTTATTATTTGCTTCGTGTCTGTTTGCTCTTTGTTTGGCTGCTACTTATGGTCAATTCTTTTCAACTGGCAGAACAACTGGTCGAACAACTGGTCGTCCAGGTGGTACAACTCCAAGTAGTGCATTATCATGTGTTTGTTCATGTTGCTCTGGTCTTCGTTGTAAACCAATTTTTCTTCGATCATTTGTTGATACGACATGCACAACTAAAGCATGTAAAGACAAATGTAAAGTATTTGAACCAAAGCATTGTGATCACACAATTATGGGTACCAATGATGCTTATTGTACTGTTTTACCTTAAATAAGTTTTCAACTCTATAAAGCTCTTTTATAACGTAGAATGTTATATGCAAGATCATACGTATATTTTATTTCAAATAAAAGAATATTACATAGTTATGCATCACAGAGTTCAAGAATTATGCTCATTTTTTTTAATCTGATTCATCTAATAGACTGATAATGTTATCAAACAATTCGATAGTTGAGAAAACAACTTTGTTTATTCAAAAGAATTCGAGTTTTGTGTTGCTTTACTAAATATATGATTATTGAACACGATATAGAATAATGTCATAATTCAAAATATTTACTTAAGGCAATCGAAAAGTAGTGGAGGACATACTTTAATTCCTTATGCAAAGCTTGAAGAAATTTTCTCTCGACATAGTCTGGATAGCAAAAGCAAAGTTATATTTTTCTATGATATTTTGATCATCCTTCAACTAAGATCATAATAAAAAAATTTCAATAAAGCTGCTTGTTTATGTTATGCAATGGTTAAATTAGTTCATATTGTATTCGATATGTATTTTCTTCTTGACTCTCCTCTAATGCATTACTGTCTATATCTATTAAATATTACAACTTCACGAAATCATTTAGATCATATTTGAGCTTTTCTAAGAGAAAAAATATGATCACCACAAACAGAAGACAATTCATCATGAACAACTCTTACTTGAATGTAGAAGCTAGAATTTTTCTTTTACATCGGAAAAAGAAATGAGCAGTGTCAAACTGTAACCCTTGGAGTCCCAAATTATTCCAGTTTGATTCAATAAAAGTAGACTATTAGATAAGCTTATTTTAGACACACAAGCATGACATAAATAACTCGAGTGTGCTCGCATATGATTGCTTCAGTATAAGTTTTAGTAAATTGTATCATACTTGAATAAAAATTTTAAGTGCTAAGGTTTATTAATTGCAAAATTTATGCAAGTTTTTCATGAAATAATAAAGCACAGTTTTTATTTTTTTTACACAAAGGTAAATGCCACTAAAGCTATCTTTATACTACTAAAAACTGGAGAAGCTCTCGCACTACAGTATCTACATCTTTCTTTAAATCCAGCAACAGGCGTATGTGCTAATAATTGAAGTAAGTAAAGTTAGCACCAGATTCGCGTATTTCTTGTCTCGATTCGCTTTCTTACCTGTGTTACCTCTCTAGATACTCGTGTTAGGTGCAGAATTTTAAGCTCTATCGAACGGTACCGGTTTCAACTAGGGTCATTGGGCAAAAACCCATCACTTTCCCCGAAATACTGCCTTATTCCCTGTGTAACAACACCCGATATTATGTATTTCTTGTCCGGATTCGCTCTACGACTTGTGTTTGCTCTCTCATTGAGTGTGTTGGATGCAGAATTTAATTCTCTTTTCGATGGCGCTGTTTTCGGGTTGTGTGATGGGCCAAAAATCACGGGGTTTCCCGGAAATACTGGTCTAAGAGCAGAT